GCAATAAAGAGGCAATTTATGCAATTCGGATCCCATCATCAGTTGCCTTGTGTGCCGTTCACCTGCACGCACACCCCATTAGTTTTTTGATTTTGTAGCAAAAACCGATCAATAAATAAGCGAGGGTTGTGGATGCGAGTCGGTCTGGTGCAGGGGTGATGCTTTTGTGGGACTGACAACAGGTGTTCCTCTCCAGTCTCGCTCGCAACACCCCAGGAGAGGAAGCGCCCTGTCAAGAGAACCAATCAGATTAAAGCGTCCCATTTGATGGGGACTTTAGATAAGAGAGGCAACAAAAGCATTCTGCCTGACAAAAATGATGGGAGAGAAATGGAACATGATGTTTAATTTAGGGCTGTCAAACGATTAATCGTGATTAATCGCATCCAAAATAAAAGTTTGTGTTTACATAATATACAGTATGTGGGTGCATTGTGTATAATTATTTTGTATATATATAAATACACACACATGCATGTATATTTAAGAAAAAAATATTATTTTTATATATAAACTATTTATATACAATATAAATGATATATACATCTATATACAGAATATACATGAAAATATTTCTTAAATATATACAAGCATGTGTGTGCATTTACATATATAAAATAATTATACACAGTGCATCCATATATATCATGTAAAACACAAACTTTTATTTTGGATGCGATTAATCGCAATTAATCGTTTGACATGCAGCCCTAGTTTATTCTATATAGTTATATCTGACATTTAAAAGATTATCTGGTTACCATGTTAGGTTTTGTGGTTACCATTGTGCTTTTACTCAAATTATTGGTATAATGTATTGACAAATGGTAGCCTTCACCTAATTTATTTTAGTGTTGTCGGAGCCGTTTAATTTAATCTTTACTCAACACATGGAATGAAATCTACCCAAATGACCTCAACTTTAAGTAGATTCTGCAGGTTTGTTTTTTCAGAATTCGTAAGATAGAATCAAATTAAATCAGTTTGATTCAGATGAGGCAAATCTGATCTGCGTTGAACTTATCGTCTGCCACTTTCATTGACTTTAATGAGCAACTTTTCGTAAAGCACCTGCTTATTGGGCTATCCATCATTATGGACAATATTTGGGCACTCTGTTGTGTTGATTTCATGGCACAATCTCATTCTGTCTCTCAGCCTCCTGTTGTTCCTCGGAGCATGATGGAGTGTTTTCATTTTCATCTTGATCATCACCAGAAAAATGCTGCTCATTAGGCCTTGTCTTTTGATAAATGGCAAGACAACGTCATATTTTGTGGGAAATCATACAGCGGTCCATCTGGTTAAAACCTGGTTCGACTTTTTCCATGTCTGGTGCTGCTGTGGGACTAGTCCTGATGGTTTAGCAAAATAATACAAAGATGTCTGGAAAGCAATCTCATCTGGCTCAGTCAGAAAAGACGAAGTGTTCGAAGCGCCCAACAATCTTGCTCATGAAATGCAATTTGCGCAAATAGCGCTGGATGTGTGGAACCTGAAATAAACATTTTCACTAAACAATCAGCAGTAATATGCCAGCATACGTCGATTTTGTTTTTTGAATGACTTTTATTTTCAATATTTTCCCAGTCCAAATAACACCCCATAATCATTTTACAAACATTTGATGGTGTTTATAGAAAGACAGCCCATTTCATTTTAACATCTTATTAATAGCAACTTGAGAGAGAGTACTAAATGTACAGATTCATTCTGATGACAGCTGCATTTACAGTGGCCAAAACACAGAGAGCTTTAGAACAAGAATCAAAATCAATGTCACCTGGAAATGTAACTTTACCAATACCTACAAAAAGAGAAAGAGAGAGACTCAAAGACACAAAATAAAAGTACACAGCACTATTTCGACACAGAGACTGTTAGTTCATACAGCATCCGTATGTTTTCATGTGTGTTTTCTTGTTTATTGTGTTGTGTACTATATTCATAGATCTTATATAAAAGCAAAAGAGGTACTCATCGATATATTAGACACAAATATAAAAAAGTTAAGGTACACAAAGTACAAAGTTTTTTATTTCTATGGCAACAACAGGACATGTGTCAGGTTGTGTGTGACTGGAATATGGAGCAATGTAATAAATTGTACCTGCAGCAAATCAAAAGCCAAAGACCATCTCAGATACTCCCTGACTAAGCCTCGGCAAAGAGTTTCCGGTTTCTATGTTTAAGCTCTTTTTACGGATCTCTGTCACACAAGGAGGAATTTGGCACAATCTCTCCTGACAGCCCTGGGCTTTTTTTTTTTTTTTTTTTTTTTTTTCCTAGGGGGGTTGGGAGTACGTTCCGCACCATAAGAAACCTGTCATCGTGAAACATGACTCTGCAAATGTGCGTTGCTAATAATAATAATAATAATATTAATAAAAAATCTAACAGAAACAAAGCCAGATTCCTGTTCGTAAACATTAAATACTTGTCTTTTATAAAATAACATGTTCATAGATAGATGATGCCTGAGTATAGTACAACATGAAAACAAAAAATTACAACACGACAAAATAAGCCTTTACAATAAGCAGTGCGTGATTTACATGTCAACAATGAGGAGGGCTCTTATTTAGAAGCATTTTTTCCCCATATATATATATGGGGAAAAAATGCTTCTAAATAAGAAATATATATATATTGCACTGGATTCAGCAGGTATAATTCAGAGAACGTTCTGATGAACTCTAAATGAATGAGAAACCACATTCAGGTGTAACGCACAGATGCAAAATGTCATTTGACGTAAATGTCACTAAGCTCCGCCCCCTTTGTTACTAGTTGCTGTTAAGACAAGCCTTACAGAACCTACCATAGGAAGTGATTGGAGAATTACATAAAAATTATGACTTGCAGTTAAATAAATAAAAAGTCACCTTCATGTTGTTCCAAACCCATAAGACGTTCGTTAGATCTTTGAAGATCTTTATGACGAAATCTGAGAGCTTTCTGTCCCTCCATAAACAGCTACATAACTACCACTTTGACGCTTCAAAAATGTATAAAGAGATCATAAAACTAATCCATATTAATTGAGCCATATAGTCCAAATATTCTAATGAGAAACTATTGCTTTGGAAATTTGAGTTTGGAACAACATGAGGGAGAGTAATTAATGACAGAATTTTCATTTTTTGGTTAACTAAACCCATAAGCATCTATTTAATTATGTAATAATGCTATGAAATCTAGGCAAAGTCAAGGCTAAATGACTCATGTTTTAATATAATATAATATAAAATAATATAATATAATATAATACATGGACATTCTATATTATATCTTTTAATTCCCTAAAATTGCATTTAAAACTATCCATCACACTTCAATAAACTTAAAGTAGAGCAAATGCTTGTCTTATTATGGCAAATGGCAACAGTTGCTAAGGTAGAATAGATCAGTAGTGTTTAAGGCGGGGCTTAGCACAGTCAATTATCCTTTTATCCAGCTGAATATAATTCAACTGATTCTGAGCTCTGTGTCAAGACTGAAGAGCAAATTAACATTCCACACTCAGTCAAACTCCAGACATGTTTATCAGACTCACAGCACAAATCTTCTCTTGCATGGCAGTCACATGGGCCTGTCTTCTGTTCAGGTTTATTGTTTTCTTTTCTTTTTTCTTTAATTGATATTCAATTTATTGAGCTGTCGACTGAGATGATTTGGAGCCGTTTTCCATCTCCCATGAAGATTCCTAGTACTAAAATGTGACGCAAATGACCTGGAATATCCTAATTATTAAGACAACTACAGCTACAGCAGAAACAAGTGTTTTTGAGGCTTGGCACAACGTCTGTAACGTCTGCAGCGACTTATGCAATGTAAACAAAAACATTTTTCAAAGCTTTTTCCACTGATCCTGTGAAAAAAGAAAGCTTACAAAAAAAATAAATCACACAAGATAGAATAAAGGTAAATATATATAAAAACACATTTACACATGTACATAATACAGAGCTTTAGTGTTCTTTATGATATGTGATAATTAAATATCTAAACTGATTGGCCAGTGTGGTTCACATGAAACTGGTCAATTCATTATGAACAATTGAGGTGCCTTGGGGGTTGACATAACTGTATATGTATTGCTGTCTTCTGAATATGAAAACAGGAATCACAACTCTCTACTGGTTATAAACATTTTGAGTAACATCTGAAAACCTATGATTAAATTTACTCCAAGACGTTTCACTTTCAGTGACAGACTATTGCAAACAACTATTTTCCTCTTTCACAGTGTTTGCCTTTGTACAATATGTAATTGTAACCATTAAACATCTGTTTTTGGGATAAAATTATATAGTTATCCTCCGTCTTATTTTCTATACTTATGTACAGAATACTGCTAGCAACAATAGAGCTCTTTGGTCTAGTGATGTGTAGAGTGTTGTGATCTCAGACACGCACACACACGCACGCACGCGTACACACAACTCCAAATTGTCATTATTTCCACTGGCTTCATCAATAATTGAAACTGATTGGCAAGTTCCGAGCTGTTTGTACTGCATTTTTGATTGCTATTAAAATGATTGGCACTAGATGTTACTGTTTCTGCTGATGGAATATTTGCCTTTCAGTCAGTTCTCCTCAAATAAATCAAACTGTGAAAAAACAATAAATAATAAACTATTAGGTTGAATTAAAAAGTAGAACGACAAGAAGCACACAAAGAAAGGGACATTCATGATTTTGTTTCAGATTCCAATATAGAGGTAAACGAATTAAATCAAATCAAGTTGGCACAAATTACTAGACACACAAATGTTGTTCTTTTTAAATCTATGCACAAAGCTGACAACTGTTTAATGTTGTCTTTTTTTTTAAATTAAGCTTTAAAATTAAAATGTTGAGGTTTATTAGCTATTTTGTAATGTTCTAATAGGTAACTGACTGTGTTATTTAGGATCGACCCTCAAACTAACGGCTCTCTGAGGGTCTGTGAGTCCGTAAACATGATTAACCAGTACATGTCATTTCTCATCAGAAACAGAAACTCAACAAGCATCTGGAGCATGGCTTTTTCAAATCAAATAAGCTTTGAATGAATACTGAATCTGGCATCCACACACTGTTTGGTAGCATTAAAAAAAATTAAAATTAAAAAAAAGAAAGAAAAGAAAAAAAAAACCTTTAACATTTCTTTGAACTTCCACTCGCAGATTAACAGTCCAGATAAATTAGGTCTGTCTGACTCATTAGTAACCTCGTTTGTATAAAAATAGAGACTATTCCTTTAAAACGGGGGCTAGTAACAATGTAGTGAAATTAAAACCTGGGTATTGTACTATTCCTCACTGGTTCATTTTTACCCTTTTTTTTTCCATCTAAATGACTAGTGCTCCATATAAATATTTTTTTGGACATTTGTAACACGATTCCTCAGCTATTTCAAAACATATTTCAAATACATATTCATACTTTTTATACAAAAACGGATGACAGATTGATATTGGGAGACAGTCACTGAAATTACTTGATGTTGTGTCAGTAATTTTCCACGAAACTGAAAGCGTCCCATCTATATATGTAGTGGCACATAATGGCATTATTGGCACAAAGTTCAGGAGAGTGTTTTCTCCACACAAGCAGACGTGTCGTGTCAGAGAGCGTCCCCGCGGCCTCTCTGCAGCCGAACTCCACTCCCGCACACCCACATGTGCAGTAATACACGTATATAATATATCAGCTCTATATCATCTCTAAAATGACCTCATGTCTATGGAAAATAATTTGGGAGTGGTTCCATAGCACTGCATCAGTCTAGAAAAATAAACATCTTCAGTCCGTTTCTAGAGAGATCCAACATTTGTACAAAACTGCCAGTTCCTCTCAGTTCCCATCTCTGATTGCTTGTCGTTGTTGTTCTTGTATTCTTGTATTGTTTTGCTTTATTGTGTTTTAGTCTTTTTGTGTTTGATTCACAGATTTTCCAACAAGATCCTGAAAGTACAGAAGATTAAATTTTAGTTGAGTTTGAATATTAAACTGATATCACTTTTTAAAGGGAAAGGATTTAATACTGTCGAGTCATTAATGCTCACCCTCATCATGTCGCTCCAAACCCGTAAGATTGGGTTCGGATTTTTTTTTTCATCTTCAAAACACAAATGAAGATCTTATTTTGATGATCCCTCCATTGACAGCCTACGCAACTGACAGTTTGACGCTTCCAAAAGAGATCGTAAAACTAATCCAGTTGAATTGAGTGGCTTAGTCCAAATTTTCTAAAACCGGATCGCTTTATATGATGAACTGATTGAATTTAGGCTTATATTAACATATAAACATTCATCATCTCACACATCAGTTGTGATAAACGGAGCTAGTTGTGTAACTGTCAATGAAATGATAGAAAGCTCTCAGATTTCATCAAAAATATCTTTATTTGTTTTCTGAAGATCTTACAGGTTTGGAATGACATGAGGGTGAGTAATTAAATGACAGGATTTTTGGGTGAACAAACAAGACTTAAGTGTATAACTTTGTCAATAAACTACTCTAAAAATATATCTACATAATGCATTAACATAAATGTTACAACTTGAAATGTTAAAAAATATATTAGTACATGTAGAAATTAGCATTAAACTAGATTAATTAATTGGTAAAGTGACTTTACAAAAAGGTTCTTTTTTTATTATTAGTCAACTATTAGTACACTAACAATGAACAATACTTCTAAAGATGTTAATTTCAACATTTACTAATACATTATTAAAATCAAAAGTTGTATATTTTAATATTATTATTCAACCTAAGGTAACCAACAGTCAGCAGTTGTATTTATTTATAAATAATATTTACAACGATTATTAAATACTGTAACATATGTATTGCTCACTGTTATTGTTTGTTAACGCAAACTAATGGTAGCTTGTTGTTATCGTTACCAATTAATTCTGTAAAATAAATTACTGTGGTTCATTGTTAGTTCATGTCACCTAATATAATGGTGCTACCATTGTATATCGTCACATCACCTAATATTTCTGCTGTTGATGTATAGAGGATAACATTTTTGAAAGTATATGAGTACAGTACAAGCCTGCAACTCATTTAAATTCTATTACTAGTGAAGTATTCTTTTTGAACCCAGAGGAACTGTGAATTTCTAGAAAGTACACAAGCACTGGAAAACCATGCCAAAATAACACCATGTGAATTTTAGAGCCAAACGAAGTATAGTACGTACCAGGGCACAAACTGAAGACGTGGGCTCAACCCAAAGGTAGTAAAAGGGCCTCAACAGGAGATCTCGAACCATTTCTCAGACACAAAGGCCACAGGGATTAGCTGCCTTTCAGTGGGCGACGGTCTGAAATAGACAGACAGATCAGCTCTTCAATCCTGCTCTGTCCCACTCCTTGATTCAAGACTCTCTTTTTTAAATTGGCATTATACCACAGACAAAAGCGCCCACAGTTACATTTCCACTAAACCCTCTCATCTAGGTTTTGTATTCTGAAGCATACAGTATTAAATGAAGAAGCACTGGAATTTTTCATACAATATAAGCCCATACACAGTCTTTTATAAAGGCGAGGGCAATGGAAGGACAAAAAACAAGACTACACAACCGTCTCAACATGCTTATCTGAAAAATAATGAGTCTCTGGCAGATTAAACTGGTTATTTCCAAAATGCACATTAAAGACTAAACTATTCTATTATTGACGATTGTAGCAAAGAAATATATGAAACTATATATTTTCAAACAAAGACACATTCAAAAACAGTGAATGCATGGCTTCTGAGACCACTGCATTTAAAAAAAAAAAATTTCAACTTGACAAGCTGTCATGAACAGCTCAAAAATAGCTCATGCAGCATGAGACAATATGCAATGCCAAGGGTTTGTCTGTGTGTGATTGGCTGCAGTGGAGGTGCATTAAAGAGGATGAATTTAACTTTTCTGAGAAGGTTTTAACATGCAATCTGTCTATAAGTTCGATATTTAAAAGTCCCAATGTTAAAACATGAAAGACTAATTATATATATAAAAAAATAATTGAAATAAATTAAGTGACTTGGATTGTGAAATTTAGTTTAAAAATGATAAACTGTCAGGGTCAAATATGCTGTGCACTTTAAACCGCAATTTATACATTTGTGCATAATATGGTCAAGTTTTCAGAATGAACATTATTTCTGTCAGCACTAAACACTCTAAGCTATGAGGAAGCCAAACCCTGTAAGAAAGTACGGACAGGGCTGTCAATGCAGTCGACTCGCTGGCCAAACAACTTGATCAGCGGCTCCTACTGTATATATATGAATCATGTCCTCTTGCCTGTTTCCATTGTAGGAGGTCTTGTAGATAGGTGTGTGCTGGATCATCTCGTCCGTGTACACCGGTATGCCGGACCGCACGCACTCGTGTGAGCACTGTAAACTGTCGTTGTAGGCGGTGAAGATGTCCACCTTACTGGGCACGCGGGCAGGCGTGAAGTCGGTCAGATTCTGACAGCTCTCCTCTTGCTGGTTGATCTTTCTCTGATGGCTGCTGTGTCGGCCATTCCCGGACTGTGCACAACTACAAAAACACGCACCAAATTCACAAAGCCAAAATAAAATCATACCTTGAACCGCTGTCCTACATTTAACATGAACTGGGGAGACAGACACAGACATATTAGCTCTGTTCCAAAAACCTAGTGAGCTGCCTTGCTGTGAATTCCAAAAATAGGTATCCTAATTGAAATGGAACCACATAAGCCCCCATCACACAAAAATCCCGGTAAATGAACGTGAAATTATCAGAATGACTGCTCAAGTAAATACACAAATGTGCTGTTCACACAAGCAACGGTGTTCTCTCTTTTTACTGGTAAGATACCATTCACACACCAATACCTAAATACTGGCAAACTCTGAATTCAATGATCGTAAATTACCTTTAAACCTTCCACCAAGATGAGGTGAAGCACTTTAGTTTCTTCTTCTTTTTTTTTTTACTTCTGAGTGACAGACGTAAGGGTATGATCACACAGAATTAGGGATGCAGCGATACCAGTACCGGTATCGGCCTCATGTATAGGGTTGGGTATCGTTTGAATTTGAACGATTCTGATTTCGATTCCGATTCCTTGTTTCGATTCCGGTTCCTAACGATTCTCGATTCCGATTCTTTTAAGAGGCAGGGTCAAAAAAGTTTCGCTAACCTTGCTAACCAACGGTCTTTCTGAAGGAAATACTCCTTCTGTAAAAATACTCCTTTTGTCACAAATTTTGTATTTTGCCGAGATTTCGTTATTTTTAGAAAAGTGAAGCCACACTTTGGATCGCCGACGTAAGGTACTCATGTTCGACTCGCGCGGTTATGCCAACACTTCCGGTAGACGCTTCTTCGTTGGTGTTGTTCAGCGGTTTCTTCTTCCGCTCGGCGGACTGTGAATATCGAAACTAGGAATCGGATTTTTTACTTTTGAACGATTCCGGGAAAAACGAAAAGTTAGTCTCGGTTCCAATCGATACTCGATTCTCGATACCCAACCCTACTCATGTACTCGTAAATATGCTCCGATACCAGGCGGCATGTGTACAGTGTTTGTGTCCAGACAAAGAAACACTGACAGGAGAGAGTATAATGGGGATAAAAATTAAGTCTATTAAGTACATTTATCTTACTGTGGTGCTCGAAAAAAAACGAGCAGTAGATTGAGTGCCTAGTTTTCACAGATGCCAGTGGAAAGTTTGTAGTTCAGTCGGATGTCAATGGCAAATAAAGTAAAACACGGCATGTAGCTTATTATTTACATTAACTGACGAGAGAAAGAGCACTTCTGTTGAATCCACTTGATTGCCGATTGTTCACTCAGCAGCGCGTGTTATTTGGATTAGAACTAAATTGTACATGTAAGCATGAACTGTTACCTGATTTATGTAATAAACTATTTTTTTTTATTTACCAGGTTATTTACCAGTTAAGACTGTATGTGTGAAAAGGGCTATGACTGATCTGAAACACTTAACATAGACAGCAAGTGACTCGACTCTCAATTGATTTCTCGTAATGAACAGTACAGTTTATAATTATTGTCAAAAGATTTGACAAAATTGTCAAAAGAAGAAATTGTCTTAGGTGCCATAAAATGCTGCCTAAGGAGGAAGCTCACCGAGTTTAGGGGAAAAAACGATTGTGTCTGCATTGTTTGGTGCAATGAGGGGTCACTGTCCACATTGACAGACAGAGGGATAGAGAAGGACAGATTGAAAAAAGATGATAAACAGATAGAGGGACAGGAATAGGGAGTGACAGACAGACAGAAAAGTCATAGGCAAACTGCTGAAAGAAAAGAATGTTTCCTACCAGTTTTTAAGGACAAGAGTAGTGATCAAGGCTGCGACGATCATAATGAGGGACACAGTGATGGTGATGATCTGGTGAACAGCCAGACCTAAGAAGGAAAAACAAAGAGCATAGTTATCACCGTCTCCATGGCAACTAACATGAGCGCCAGTGCCTTTTGTAAGGTATTTGATTGCAATAACACTGATACTGCATCTTAACATGCACTGCTCTCTCTGCGCCACCATAGCTTTTTGTAAGCCCTGTCTGCCACCATGACAGTCATTTTTGACCATTTCACAATGTCTGGACTATGAAACAGCTTGACTGAAAGCAACAGGGAGAAGATGGCAATCACACCGGCTGGCTAAAGGTCAGCAAACAACAATTAATGCAGAACAAGAACTCTCTGTTCCAGAATAAAGAGTGTCACAAGAACTATGAGCTACACTGTCTTTCTCACTTCGTCACCCCTGAATGGATAGAAATGAGACCCCGCGGGGAGCCGCAGTTACAGACTTTTATATATAAAGAGTGCCACGACTTCCATTTCTTGCTGGAGCTGATAAGAGTGAAGGAAGCAATTTTATGGATTTCTCCATCCATATTAAAGTGTTTGTGTCTGTGAGGAACAGCAGCATCCATATTAAAGTATCTGGTATATGAGAATGCATTACAGCTTGGTGCATTTATTTAAGTGGTTAGTTTGCAGCACCAAAAGGGGTTTCACAGTTCCAGCGTTAATTTATTCACAGAACCATTTCAGAGTTATAACAATAGTTAACCTTACTACACCTGGCACAGAAGCTTCACATGGGACTAAGCGTCAACCGAAATATAGAATAGTGCATATATGAGTGTGCACTAATTTAATATGCAAGTTCTTTCATAATGTTATCTTGGTTACATTTGTCTACTCATTTTGTGTTTTTGATATTTTATTGAAAGACATTTACTGCAAATATTTTTATACCACGTATTACAAATTCAAGTACAAAAGTTTGAGTCTATGCAAATGCTATTTAGTGTGATATATGGGTAGTTGACATCCTTTTGGGACATTGACAATTAAAAATATTTTACAATTATTAAGCATGCCGTTTTTATGATCTCATATTAATTGAGAGACTAAATGCAATATAGTCTTAAATGCAATATATAAATGTATAATTTATTTATCATAACTTAAACAAGATATTTTTTAGATATATTTATCTAACAGGGTAGCACAAGTGCCTGTGCTATGTGTGTGCATTTGTCAAGATGCACATCATTTCTCTTTCTAGTGCCCTTGTGTTAGGCGTGTCTCAATTTTAGAGTCAATTACAGGCATGTCTCAGTTCTGGCAGGAAGGGTCAAGTTGCGCTATACTGTGTTGCTCTACAAAAAACCCCACACTGGACTGATTTACTTAACCCTAGAGACCTGTGGGGTGCTGAGTCCATCAAGTTCTGGTTGAATAATCAATACCAGAGAGAGAGAGAGAGAGAGAGAGAGAGAAGAGAGAGAGAGAGAGGGACATAAACAACAGATAAACAAAGGAGAGAGAAAGAGAGAGTTTTGTGCAACGCCTTTGGTGCACGTGTGCACGTTTACACACCTGTACATGCATGTGTGAATGTGACTTTGCGTCTGGGCCAGTTCTGACAGATTACATTAGCCCTGAAGGCCAACAAGCCTTCATACATTTTTAGAATGTATGAAAATTGCAAACTCCTCATATTAACTAGTCTTACAGCAAGCATAATAAAAAATAATAATAAATGTATATATAAATGTATATCTAAGTCAAAGAGAATGAACTGTATGTAAAAAAAACACTTATTAGACTTACAATCAAGGTGCTTCAATTATGTTATTGTAACTGAACAAGAAATGCAAATAAATGTCAATGGAATGGCTTAGTTAATGGAGTAAATTTCACATCGCGTTTTACTTCCGATTTGATCATCCAGAAGTCAATAGATTTACTGAAGCAGTTTTTGTTTAAATTCTTAAAATAAGTTCTGTGGTTAACACAGGCTCAAGATTTTTTCATGTTTTATTCTACGACATAAAATACATCAGTAATACCCCCTGGTGATTGCTTTCAAATGGCTAAATGCTATAAATGAACTACATTTTAGCTTTTTACTTCTATTAGCTTTTTACTTCTGCCAATTCTATTTAGGCTGCAAAGTTCATAGACATTGGGTCCATTTGTGAAGATTATCATGACGAACGAAACATGTAAGAATCATAAACGTTTGTTTTTCACGGAGCAAATTATTTTAAGCAAGAATAATCATATTGGGTATTTCAGTCAGAAATACAGCGCTCCCTTGCATTCGATCAGTGAAGTCTGTGAAGTTTGCTGTCAGGATGAACCTTTTGTGAAAAATAGAAATAGAAAACATGTATGTATAAGGATATGGCTATAGTCAATAAGCTGAATGCACTGAACGGCACCTATCAAAGCATCTGAAATGGCAAGCCATGACCCGAGTGTAGCTTCTGACCCTTCCTGATTGCTTAGCTGGCACTATTGAGTGATGGAAGCATGCAGATGCATCTGGGAAATGCTTGCCTCACTTTCCTTCCCTGTGTCCTGTGTTCGGGTCAGAGCTGGATTAATTTTATCTCAGTCCCTGGCTTGAACACTGCTCCTTGGCATGGAGTCCCCCAGCGACACCAACACATAAACATATCGGACAGCTATTTAAATTTCCCTCTCTCCCCCTCTGTCCCTCTTGCTCTGAAATGGAAGGCAGCAGGTTAAATTGAGAGAGTGTACCGGGTGATAAATTCAGGTGTTTATGCATCTGTGAAATTTTATGAGACGAGCTCTCCGTCCTCGACCTTGCTTTGAGTCAAAACGCTCGTTGGCTTCTAGGTCTGTTGTTTTATGTATTGATTTCAGTTCGAAAGATTCAACCCCCCCCCCCCCCTCCCTTCTGTCACACCGAACCCATCACATTTGTGTAATATAGAGCTTTATAATACCAGAGTAGACGAATGCAAATGTATCTCCATTATATTCTTATTACTCCGACCCAGGCTCAGAGAACAGGACGTATATCACCTTGTCTCACCTGGCCCTGCAATGAGAGAGATAGGCACACCAATTCCAATCAGGGAAAGTGTCAAAAGAGGAACACAGGCTGGTGCTGTGGTACCAGACACCCTCCTTCCTAACTCTGCTAGTGATGGAGTCACCTTGCTTCAGGTGCTCGGGGTGAGCCTTTGTTTCCCTGGGCGCCTTGCCAATAACAGGACAAAAGAGACCAACCCTCAGAGGCACTATACTTCTCAAACTCACCAAAGACGTGCAGCTCTTACACCCAGAGATACTGCTAAATGTCTCTACTAGAACAAGCTAAACTATTACACTTTTTCTGGAGAGTTGTTTAAGTTATTTTGAAGAGTCTGGCTGATTAGCATTAGCATAGTTAGCCCCAGTTAGTTGATTCTGTAACTACATAACTTGATTCAAAAATAAATAAATAAATGAATTTAGAATGTGTTTTTGGTGGTGTCGATTCAAATGCAACATAAAATCCAAAACTGCCTGTATATGCTTTCTTAATAAACATTTGTCTAATTGACTTCCATCAGTGCATGTTATTCTAAAGCAAAATGTTTGTTTTCAAAATCTTTCATCAAAATGCAATAACTTTCTCAGTCATGACCTTTCTTTTATGCTGAAAGTTGCATGGATAAAAAGAAAAAAATATTTTATTTAATGAATAGTTGAATGTAAAAGATTTCACCCATCAAACTGAAACGACAAGAGAAGTTAATTTAATTATTCATCAATACAGTTTAGGTTCATTCCTATGATAAAACTAGTCAATTTACTGTATGTTAAGACTTTTTAGTAAAAAAAAAAAAACATGTATATATATATATATTCAGAAACCAGAGAGTTTCTGGTCTCATTGACTACCATAGTATTCCTACTATGGAAGTCAATGAGACCAGAAACTGTCTGGTTACTGATATTCTTCTAAATATCGGAAAATAGGCTGAATGTATTCGAAAATGGTAAAACTCAACTGTTTAACTCAGAAGGAGTTGTAAAATGAGCCTATTTCCAAAAAAAGTGGAGTATCCCTTTAAATAAAACCCTAATGCATGAATTTGTCAAGTCCAAATGTTTTACAGCCCTGTCCAGCAGAGTGATGGTAGCATATTTAACTCAACTCCCAGTTCTGTAAGCAAATTGCAAAGGGTCAAGTTTACCAGTCATTGCCTGGGAGAGTTGCTGACAAACCTCTCTCTATACACTTGCAGAGCACAGAGCAACTAGTCTATAGTCCTCAAGCACCCTAGCATGAGCCTTTTTTGGTAATGCGATGATGGTACTTTCATTCCAGACCTGTGGTACATTAAAGTACAAGTACATTTAAGTTAAGAGACAGCTGTAAAAGTTGTGTCAAAACACCCTCCAGCTGCATATTCCCTCAGTACCTTGCCCTTTATCCCATCCATTCGGCCCTTTTGGAATTTGACTTGCATTAAAACATTTTCCACAATCTGTTCTTCAATTATTATTGGGGGAAAGACGAGAAATGCTTAAGATGACAAATGTTTATGATTGGATAATTATTTCAGCGATTAATATGTTTGTAGCATGTTATATGTTTGGCAACAGCCTAATTAATGGAGAGTGTAGCTTTTAATTTCTTAAACAACCATGTAGGGAGACATTTCCAATACATTATTGACAATAAAGATCCAATCATAGACTCTTAGTCTTAAGCATTTGCCTATTTAAATCCAAACAGCTTTTTTTTTCTTTTTTTTTTTTTTGGAATTGAAATGGGAGAGGTTACTAGTTTGTCAAAACGATGCATTTTTTTGTAAAACAATTCACAAATTATCACATTAGTAAGTCAACAATGTCCACCAAATAATGTAACCTTATGTTTGGAAAAAAATAAAAACTATGATAAAAAGGTTAGTAAATATTTTGTACTACAAAATAAATGTAAATCTGTTTATCCTCCACTACATCCCTGCAATCAATAATACCATAGGACATTTTTCACAATCCAATCAAATCATAAAAGATACTATATTCTGCTGTCTATTCTGTTTAACTTGGAAATACATTAAATTATGCCCTTA